AAGAAGGAATCAGAATGATAGAGTGGGAAGAGGCATGGAGAGATCAGCCCATTCTTCAGGAAGAATTGCATAAAAAATGCATAATATTGCTTAGTACTGCCTTAACACACTTTTATAAATATTAAAAACCTTCATGCTCAGCTGATTTACCATTGCAGCGCTCCTGGACCACACTGCTTCAGGTTACATATGAGCAGGCAGAGTTCTTGATTTGCAACCCTTCACACACGTAGCAATAGCAAAACTGGGAACAACAGGTCCTCCCCTATAGAAAGCACCTAATCCAAAATTCACTCTACAATAAAATTTTTCACCTCCTTGCTCCTGTCCCAGTAAATGGAAACACTGACATAGAGCAGAGGGAAGATGTGGGCCACAAAACCTCTGGAGATCTCTCTGCTCCACAGGTTTCTGTGGTTCTGTGTGAACAGATGGAAAGGAAAGAACAACAGCAGATGTTGAGAGAATATATAATGGGTAAAGTCATACTGGGGTGTACATGGAGATTCATGTCTACAAAACAGCACTGAACTAGGAAGTTGCCAGACTAGACAGTGGAACAGGCTGATCTGTACTCAAGAGACTCAACTCTTTTTTTCTCTAGAAACACTTGAATTTTCCTTTCCATGTGTTAATGAATGTGGGATACAGCTGCTTACAGTCAAAATGGCCACCACTAAAAGTCTCAATCTGTTGAGAGAACAGGTGTATTTAATCCCCTTCTCAGTAGTTACTCATTAAATGAAGGCAGAATAACCCAAACCAGCAGGTATTGCAATTGAGGAAAAAAATAGTTAAACATGCAAGTGATAAACATCTGAGTTACTGATTAACTCCTGGCTTTTGTAACCCCAGCAGTTCTTCAGTTGGTTTACTAGGAGACCAAAACACAGAACTGTGCCACTTTAATAACTCATCGTGCACTTTATCTCTCCTTGGCACAGGTGTCCCTGGGCTGTGACAGTGAGAACAGCACTGCCCTCTCTTGATGGAAAGAGTTCACACCTTTTTCAATGCCTGCAGAGCCTTTCAACGTGAGTCAAAACAGCAAGAGAAATCCACGTAGGACAGAATGGATTGAAGTATAACCCCTTCTTTGGTGTGTCAACTGCCAGAAGTTGAAAGAGAGAATAGAAGGAATAATTGACTTGCTGCGTGTGCACATTCTCAGGCATCTGCTCCAGGATGTCCATTGCAGATGGGATGCTGGGGCAGCTGAGCCTTTTGTCTGTCCCTCTATGGCCAAACTTAAGCTCTCAGGGAAAAATCTGGGCAGGAAGGGAACATGGAGACTTAAGACATTTCTGGAGCAATCAGAGTAAAAGCAATGTAACATGCTTGGCAGGATGGAAAACAGGCTGATGCTCACTGCGAGGAAGAAAAGGGTGATTTGATATGTCTTCTTCCACCTGCAGTTTCTTGTTTGCCCTCCTGCTTCCAAGCAACTCCATTCAGTCCGGAGGTCGCCTCAAGCAATATCTCTCCCTCACTGTCACTCCTGATGTATTCACTTGTTATTGCAGCCTGTCACTCGGTTTAACTGAGCACATGCTGTTTGCCATCTGGAGGAAAGTCTGAGAAGTGAGGTGGCAATACTCACTGTGATCAGGGGTTCAGCTGAGCCTCCTCAGAAGTTGGCTCTTCCATATCTTGACTGACTGGAACATCCTGAGCCCTTGCAGGGTGTGAGGAAACTCCTGAAGACGTATGACCCTGAAATGGGACAGCCTTGCCCTGTGGTGCAGAGGAAATTCTTCCAAAGTTTAATAACTGTGTTTTTCACTAATACAACTTGTGCTTAAGCAAAGTTGCTCTGGAAAGGAACTGATCCTGCAACACCACAATCTCTGTTTCACTCAGAGGAGGTAAATTTGAACAAACAAGCAGGAGCACTCAGCACCCTCAGCACAGATGGACACAGGATTCCTGGATGAGCAAGATGTCCAGCAATGGTGGAAGTCAGGGGCCTGGCGGGCTGGGAGTGGATGCTAGATTGTGGTGAGCTAACCCAAGGAGGGCCTAGCTGTGTCTGTGGGGACAAAGACTACCCTGTGAAATGAGCCTGAAAAGATGCAAGTTTGTGTTCTGTCTTACTTCTGCTCAGACTCTTATAAAACCCCTCATCTCTAAGCCAAAAATAACAGTAGCCACTAAAAAACCCAAATTCTTGTTTGTCACCATCAGCTGTCATAGAAGGCAAAAATGGCCATTTGCTGGACCAGCTCATTCTGCTGCTTGACCTGCCTTTGCTATGCTCAGTTTTAATCTTTTTCACTTAAAATTTCACAGTAAGGATCTATTTTCCTGGTCCCAAACAAGCAGCAGGGTGCACGCTGAACAATAGCAAAGGGTTTGGCAGAGTGCGGGTTCCTCGTCTGTGCCAGAAAAGCTTCTCCGATAGCTCTGAGTTCCTCTTCACCCCCCTCTACCAGGGGCTGACATCAGGGAAAGAGAAAATACAATTGAATACCATCAAGAGTAGTGTTCTGTTTATTTTCCTGCTAACAGAATTATTTTCAGGACATCTCAGAAGTCAGAAATGGGAGCAAGGAGAGGGGTGAGAAAATCAGAAGAAGCCCACACTGGGATTTCATTAGCTGTTACCAGAGAGGAGATTATAATCAGGACCAAAATGCAGGTCAGGGACAGAATAAATGAAGCTGTACATATGTCAGATGTCCTTGCCTACCCTTCTGGAAGAAGACCACAAAGAACTGGAGAGGTTTCTCTGCCAGAAACAGGACAGTCTAATCTGTTAATTATGCTTGTTGGTTATTGCTGGTTCCTATAGCTGTGTGGGACAGCCAATTCAGAGCAGCTCTGGCACAAGTATGGATTTACTAAGGGAAAAAAAATCCAGTAGATATGAGCTCTTCATGAGCAGTGGCTGCTGCTGTTTACTCCTGTGTACAGAGATGTGGTTATGCAGCTGCACAGCCTCTTCCTTGTGACACGAAAAGGGAGAACCAGTCTGGCATCTCTTGGATCTTGAAAGGGACAGATTTCACTCTCTCTTTTCACATTCCCTCCTTCCCTTGCCCACGGTTGCAACATTACACTCCTGCTGCCTTGAACAAGCTCTGGTTCTAATTAGATGGGAAGGGTTAAAAATCAAGCATCAGTTGGTTGGAGCTCTACCAGCTTCTGTAAAACAATTTTTTTTTTTGTTCAGTAAGACTGCTGTGTGAAAAACTGTTTTTTTAGCTCTTAACAGTGGAGGTCCTAGTCTGTTCTTCTTCAGAAAAAGTGTTCTGACTTAAAACCTGCTTATTTATCCCTTAAAATGAACGATCTTAGGATTCTGAGCTCTCTTATCCAGCACAGAGCAGAAGGACACATGGACTACCCAGATCATCTTCGGGTTAGTGGAATGTGCTGCATGTCTTCTTGCATGAGCAGGGTGTTCTTGTCCAAAAGCTATGTGGCTGTCAGAGATGCTCAGTTCTACCTTCCAGGCTTTTGAACAGTCCTTAGGAGTTTAAGTGATCTGTTTCTTTTCAGGCCAGGAGAAGTGAAGTGAGACACACATGTAATGAGGTGTGGGTTGAGGAAAATGGGGTGACCTGAATGGTTTGAAAAGTGGAAATCAGAGACCAATTATACTGCTCCTGACCACACAGTCTCTGGATCACCTCTGCCCACTCCTGCATGAAAGATGTGCCTCTTCTGGAAACCACCACAGGTTACACTGTTCCCACTGCTCTAATTGTGATTCCCATCTCTGCAATTACATCTGCTGTAAGTGACATGGATCAATAACAAACTGATGAGCCAGAGACTTTCCTGAGGCTACTGCATGGAGCAGGCGATGAGGAATGGAATAGGAGGCTTTGCAGCTTTCGCTTCACTCCCTCCTGTCTCAGCAAGGTCAGTAACAACCCTAAATCAGGTGGAGTGAAGGGCTGATTCAGCAGGATATCCTGATGGGGCTGCTACCTGCTCACCTCTGAGCTGACCACACTGCAGATGATGGGGAGGGGATGTTGGACTTGTCACCTTCTCATGGCAGGCTGGTATCAGTCGTGGTCTTAACTGAGGATGGGATCATGTGTAGAATAGGAACACCTGATGTCTCTCTCTCTTTCTCCATTCCCCAGGCCAGTTCAGGGTTAGGGTTAGGGTTAGGGTTAGTTCAGGGATGTCTTCCCACAGCTAAATGTGCAATGAAATGAACAGACTATTTTCTAAAAGAAGTAATTCTTTCCATAGGAAAGAGTGAATGAAGCCATGAAATGACATTTCTGTCCTTTATACATCATCAAGACCCACACCTCAATTAACCTTCCAACCTGGACAATCTTTACTAATCTGTGTACTGTGAACTCCCTTCCCTTACCCATTACCATTTTGGTAGTGACTACATTCATGGCATCTTTTTCTTTCTGCAACTGTTTTTCAGCATAAATCTCTTTTCACTGTTCCAGCCCAACCACATAGTGGAAAAAAAAAACATGTATGGGCTTTGATTTTCATCTGTCTTGCTAGTAAAGCAGAAATGCCAGATCTGGTCTCTGAGTGGATCTAACAGCGAGATCTAACAGAGCCAGCACCTGCTCTGCAGTGGGGAGGAATGGTGATGGTGATGGCAAAGAAGATGGGGGTGGCTCTTCCTGCCCCTGGCAGAGTGGCACTTCCCACAGCTTAGTAGTGCATTGGTGGGACTTGGGTTTGAGCTCGAATTGGGCCCATAGTGATAAACAAAAGAAAACACAGACTAAAACCCTGCTCACAGTTGTCCCTGCTGCTTGGTTGCTTGTGCACTTTCTGGACTGGTTTTGGGGGCCTTTCCCATGAGGAAACACCTGGTATGTGGATCTAAATGCAGATCTGGTATGTGGATCTAAATGCAGCTGGGTGGACGTGAGCTGTGCTGTTTCATAGAAGCAACAGCAGGGAAAGTTCTGTGGATTATGACACAGACATCACCTGCAGTCCTTATCCAAACGTGTCACGTCCTAAACTGAATTCAGGCCAACATGGGATCAGACCAACCTCACATAAGCAGCTTTAGGGTGATGTCAGCAAAGCGGTTGGTACGAATTCCCAGCAGCAGCAGGGTCAGTGCTGAGGGGTGAGGGCTTCCTGAAAGCTGGGACGGATGCTGGGGGTCCCATCCATGAATTTACAACTGTGAGCATGACACAGTCCAGTCAGGGTACGTTTTAGAAGAGTGGCCTGGATAAGGGTTAATGACTGCTCTACAGAATAAATTATTGCAGGTGAAATGCATTAACCCCATGCTTAAAGCAGCCTCCACAGAGGAGGGTTCTTTTAAAAGGGAACGGGACTTCACAAATGATTATTTTTTCCAGGGAAAATTTTCTCTTTGCTCCAGTGCTTTTTTCTATGTTGTAAAAACTGGTGATTCTTACTCTTTTCTCTGACCCTCAAAGTTATTCCACAACTCCTAAAAATTTGGAATGGGGAAAAAAAGGATTGGGACAACATGTTAAAAAAAAATAAAACTCAGGCTCAAAGGATAGGTGAACTTTTTTGTGTAAATACATGTGTATTTCCATGCATCTCACTCTCTATATACAAAGAAGATGAGGTTTAAGAAAATTTTGAAAATTATCTAGTCATTAATTCTTTTCTTGAATATTCATGGTAGAACAGTAGATATATTAAATACTTATCTGGCCTATGTATCTTGGGGATAGGGATATTTCTTTGTTCTGAGTTTGTACCTCTTCTGGTACTGGGGACAGACACTACATAACTGAAGGCTTTCAACACCTGTGGTGCATCAAGAAGGACTCACCATGTCACTGTCATTTCAGTGACCACCTGTGACCCTGCTGCATGCCATTAAGTGATAGGATTTTTAGGAACCTGTTGAGGTGCAACATAACATTTGACTGGCCGGGTTTTGCCTGGTATTTTTTTTCATGGCTGAGCAGATCAAAACTGTCAGGTCAAGGCCCAGACCCTCCTCTGTTAAGCACGAGGCAGAGGTCTGATAAAAGACAAGCTCAAACAGTTGGATGGAAAGGAAGACAGGGTATGGAATATGGCATTTGCCATAAATCCAGATCCAGAAAGTTAAATTTAGAAAGAGAGTTCAGGTGATGACAAAAATGGATTTTTTTCTTTTTTTTTTTTTTTTTTTTTTTTTTTTTTTTTTTTTTTTTTTTTGAAAAAAGTGGAAAACGGAAAATCCTACTGACTGGTGTAAATTGATGTAGCTTTGACCTCTGGGAAGAACTAGTCTACATCCATGAGAACATGGCCAAGTAATACTGTGCTGTGTGACTGCACAGGAGAGGAGGGTCTGAAGGGCACTGTTATCAAAGGAAGTGAATACCTGAAACACAAAGATCTAAAGTTTTTCTGCACCAGCCTTGAGGCCAACCTTTGTTCCTGTAAGCACAGTAATCTTTCTGTCCTTCCTGCAAAACATAGCCTCTCCCAAAAAAACTGGATGACAGAGACTCTTCACTGATGGGTTTAATTAAATCTTTCTGTGTTTTGTTCATAACTCTGCAATGTCACCTGGTTCAACAGAGCCATTCTCCAACTAGGGAAGCCTGCTGCTGTAACCCCACAACCCCAGACTTGCAAATCAACAGAAAAATGCTGTTCACCAGAAATTCTTAGACACTTCAGCTGAAAGGACTCCCTGAAGGTGTTTAACCCAAAATGGAATCCACAGTGCTCTATCAGACCAAACCTGGCTTTTTCTAGCTATGCCTTGATGTCCTACAAAGACAGAGGTACCATTTCTTCTCTTGGCTGACCCATTATATTCTCACCCTGCTAGTGAGAAAAGCATTTTGCCTAATGTCCAGCCTGAACTTCCCAAGCTGCAGTGCATGGCCATTGTTGCTTCTACTGCCATTTGATACTACAGAAATGAACTTGTCTCAGCCATCTTCACCTCTTCCCTTTCCTTAATAGAAGGGCAAGGACATCAAAGCCAGACAGTACTTTTTGGCCCTTTATTCATTGTTTGCTCATATTGTACAAAAGAAGGCACAGGCTACATACGCAGGCTAGAGAGTAACTGGGACCTGAGATCATCCGTGTTATTAAGTCCATAGTCTGCTTCCTGGCACTGTTTTAGCTCATGGATTCTCATCCCCTCAGAGAGCGTGCCCTGGCTTAGCCTGGGACACAGCATGAGCCAAGGACTGTTCCCAAAAGACAGTATAGATAAAACCATCCAGTATTTTTAAGACACTGAGGTTTAGCTGTGCAGTCATACACCATGTATATGCCCTTGGTCACAAGAATGTGACCTGACCTATCTTATTATATCCTATTTTTATGTTTACATATCTCTCTATATAAACATCTCCCAGAATATGCCTACTCTTAAATGCCAGCTGCCAGCTCACCCTTTGCACTCTCCACTATTCCCTTCATGCCACCCTCTGGGGACACAATGTAAACATTCAGCTTTATGTCATAGGAATCGCACTCTGATGGCGCTGCTGCAGTGCTCTTACATTATTTCATATACTTTTATTTAAATATATATGAGTTTAAGTAAGAACTTTATTTCAAGTCACAGGAACAGTGCTTGGGGACTACAAGAGATGCAGGATCCGGTGCTCAGCAAAGCAGATATGGTCAGTCAGCTGGAGAGAACTAGTCCTCATCAGTGTGGGTGAGACCAACTCCAGAAGATGATATATGAGCAGTGTTGATGTAGCCACAGGAATGAATGGCTCGTTATTCCTGGAAAGATGTCTAGGACTGGAAGATGAGCCATACTGTGTTTTCCTTTATTATGAAGGAAGCACTGGGCAAAGTTACTCTTCTGAATGCTGGTCAGCATGGTCATGAAAACACATCACAGCTCTCCTGAGATGCAGGTGATCCAGGACAGGATTATTCTCAATAAGTGTACACTCAAAAAGGAAAAGTCACATTACAAACCTCAGCACATCCTTTCCTTGCCTGCTCTGGGATTTTGCTACTCAGGAGATAAGAGTAAGAATGAGCTGCCATGTCATTGAAAATAGCAAATGTCACTGGAAGTAGAGCAAAGCAACAACGCCTGCAAAATCTGCAAGCCAGGCTGGTGAATTTTGCCCTGGGCTGTAATTCTGCATCACCCGTGATCAGTCATGAGGATTTGGCCAATGAGATGGAAGTTGTTGGGCTTGGTGAAGGACCTCACACTCATCTCTGACATGGGCAAAGAACAAGAATAATAAATAAAAACTCTTCAGCTTGAAAGGAATGGACTGTGGGAATATTCATCACAGGAGATGAAGTGGAACCATTATTCACTGTGCTAATATCACAATATTGAATACCTGGGAGCCTGATGAAGCATTTGGATAGGAAATGTAAAACTGAAGGCAGTAGCTGTTCAAATAACACAGTTTCAAACAGGGGAACTTACTGCCTCAGGCCAAGGCGAGGGTCTGGCATTGCTATGGGAGGTGCAACTTTCCCATGTGGGGTGAGTGTGCTGCACTGGGTCCCTTTTGCTGGATTCTCAGCCTGGCATAAGCCTGGCACAAACCCATGAGATGGGTGGGAGGCAGCTCTGCAACCATCTGGGGGATGATAGGCAATGCTGGTGTGGCCCAGCCAGAGCCACGTACCAGAGTGCCGGGGACGGGAGCACCTTCCCCTGTGGTGGACAGGCAATGGGATGTGGTGTGATCACCCAGCAGAGCTGCCCTGACAGAGGAGTCCGGATGGATCCCTGCCATTGACCATGGCATGCTCCCCTCTACCTCAACTCTAGGGCATGAGCATATGTGCTGCTGGCAGTCAGCAGCCAGATAGAGCCTCTGCTTTCATTGGACCCTGCTAATTAATTTACAGCATTGATTGCTTTTTACAATATATCTGTCCCTCATTTAACATTTAGGTACTACAGCTGAGAACAAATAAATCCAAAACTGTACAAGCTGATGATATTGGTGGCATAACATGAAAGTCCTGTTAGAAAAAACTGAGTTGCCTTTATGGTCCACAAAGGACATTTTGATCTGCTATAACTAAAGCCTTTTACATCCTAAACTAAAACGATTTGAGCATTGCAACAGAGCCAGGAGCCCCACATATTTGTCCCTTGTCAGGAAATGAGGTTTCAAGGGAAGAATTTTCTTTTTCTTTTTTTTTTTTTTTTAGTTGTGAGTATTTCTAAAGGGTCAGTAAACACCACCCCCTCCCACCCCCCCTTCCCTAGCTAGGAGTGTTGTCCCCTTTCAAACAGGAAAGAAAAACTGTAGAGATAACAGGACTGATGTGAACCCTCAGAGTATGAAGCCTTGAAGGACTTCTCCCATCTTCCTTCTCATCCCTTTCATGGCCTGTGGGCTCCTGCGTTTAGTTCTTACCCAGAGGCCAAAATGGAGAGATTTAGCAAATAAATCCCAAGCCTTATAGCTGTGAAGATAGTAGTGCCAGGAGGGAACAAGCTTTGAGTCTGTGATGTGACAGACACTGCTGTGAGAGAGCTGAGTGCACCAGGAGTCACCGGATAACTCATGGGAACAGGAAAACAGCACGCTCTAGTGGGGAAATTATTAAAGTCTATTAGAAAAATCTAGTAGAAAAATCACTGCTCTTCGAATGAAAGCAACCATTGCTTCCTATCTCTATCCAGTGTTTCTTCTCCCATCGCTGTGCATCTCACATCACTTGTTGCCCCTGTTACCCACTAGCCCAGGCAGGGGGACAGTCCTTCCAAGGTTCTCCCACCTACTGTCTCAGAGCTTGGGTTGACAAAATTGGATCCACTCCCTCTGACTTGCTGAGTGCACTTGGCACAGTGCACGTTTTTCTGTGCCAGTGTGGCAGGGCCAGTTCCCAGGGTGCGGGAGGGCATTTGGGTCAGTGACAGGCAATGGCGAGGTGCCCCATTAGCACAGTAATCAGCGGGCTCCTTCCCTCTCCCTTTCACTGTCACCCACTAGAAAACTCTCCATTAAGGAGAACTCATTACTGGCAAAACAGACACTAATCAGGTATTAGTTGTAACCATTAATGAAAAAGCTAATGAGGTGCTGAGATTCCCAGCGCTGACTGAAATGAGTTAATCACATCTCACTGCTCAAAGGCCCGTTAGTCTGCATGCATGCTGATGTTTCCCATTCTGTTGCTTATGATAGGAAATAAAAACTTTGCTCCAGCTTCATTTACTTGCATCTGCTGGATCTCTCTGCTAAGCTGTAAAGTCATGTACCGTGGGCCAAACTTGCAACTTTTGCTGCCAAGCAGCAAAGTTCCCTTGGCCCCCACGAAGCCACCCCAGAGAGAGTTGTCACTGGTGGAATAGCACCCAGGGAAAGGAAGCATTGTGCTGACCCGGGGAGGGAAGCAAACACTATGCCCACAGCCACATAAAACAGTGATTTCTCATGGCCTCTGGCTGTTGGTTTAAAATGTTATTCCAGCTCCCACAGTAACAAGAACTGAAGTGCCACCAATGTCCCAGCTGCACTCCTCCTGAAGCAGCTCCTGGTCTTTTTTTCAGTTGGTATCCTGTCATTCCTGCTAGTGGTGAGTAATAATCTCACCAGAATCCAGTGCTATCTGGGATGAATGAGTCATTGGAAACAACTAGCAACTGAGGTAATTTGGTTAAATTTGACCTAAAGATTTATCTCAAGTGTTGTTGGTAATACCAGCTCTCAGACTTCAGGAAAGGTCTTAGGACCCCTTGAATTCACAGGCATCTTTAAGGATCTAGTTTATTTTAATCTGGTGGAACGGAGGTAGGTTTCTTCCTAGCAGCCCATATAGTGCTGAGTTTGAGATTGGTGGTGGGGGAATGTGAGTGAGTGGCTGTGTGGGTGCTTGGCTGCTGGCCAGGATCAAATCACAATGCGTGCTCAAAAGCATCACGAACCTAATTCTCTCCTGGTTCACCAACTTTGATGGACCAAACAAAGGGGTAAAACCCTACTTTTCTTCAAAAGGTTTCCTAGAAGATCCATTTGACTTTATTTTTATGTATCCTGTCTTCACCCTAATGTCTGTTTATTTCTATTTCCTTACCTTCCTATTCAAATCAAACCCTTAAATGACAGAGCCTGTCATCTTGCAGAATTTATCCCTGCAGCCAACTCTTTGATGTCTCCCACGATGAACCATCAGTCATCAGTCTCTCCCATGACTTTGCCTGTAACTCCACCACTGCAGGCAGAAGCTCATCAGCATCTTAAGGAACTTGTTCACGCATACCCACCTGATATCTGAACGTGAGGATGTGTTGTACAAAATCCTTGAATGTTTAAAGGAGTGTGGAAATAGTGATAGGACAAGGGGGAGCCATTTTAATTTAAAAGACTGGAGATTTACATTAGATATTATGAAGAAATTATTTACCTTGAGGATGGTGAGGCAATGGTTACCCAGAGAAGTTGTGGATGCCCCATCTCTGGAAGTGTTCAAGGCCAGAGTGGATGTGACTTTGAGCCACCTGGTCTAGTGCAAGGAGTCCCTGCCCATGGCAGCTTGATTGGAATGAAATAATCTTGAAGAACCCTTTCAACCAAGCCATTCTATGATTCTGGGATTGATTCTGTGCAATCACTCTTTCCATTTTTTTCTGCCGTATGAAACCCACTTAGGTATTTGCGCAGGCTGAACACAGGCTGTGGCTGCAACCTGGACATGCTTCAAAGCACAACCCAAGTATAGCCAATGCATTCAAATAGGCAGCAGGATGGGGCTGGGGGAGTAATGTGCAGCTCCCCTGGGTGGTGGCAGATCTTTGGGGCCAGCCCCGGGAAAGAAAGGAGGGGAACAAAACAATCCACATGGGGAGAAACTGCCTTAAGGGTGTCCTTGACATAACACTTGAGTTGAAGGCAGTTGGGACATTCTTGGAGGAACAGCATGGTGCTGCAGGATGCAGCATTAGTGGCACAGGTTAAGACACTTTTCTCACTGACCTAGTGTCTAGGTGGACAGGGAAGCAGCTGTAGTTGCTGTGTAAATCTGGAGTCTCTGATTATGTGGGAAAAGTAACTATTGTGGGAAATGTACTGTCCGAAAACACAGATTTACCTCTGCATACAAGTACCTAAGAAATTTTAATTTTGTGAACCATATTTTATTTCATATTGCCTGATGATAACAAAATGTAGTGAGATCTGTTCCCTGAAATTCTGTAGAAAAGACAAGTGAAAACAGAGATTTTTGTGTTTTCATTTATTGAGTTTAATTGTTATTCTGACTGTGAGCCATCAGAGGAACTCACGCCATGAACTGAAGCCATATACTTCCCCTGTGGGTACTTACTTTCTTCATTTGATGCTGTTAGCAAAGTCCTTTGTCTAAGTCCTGTGGTCGGTCCATCTGTCTGCGTGTTGCTGCTGTTGCTGCTGCATGTCTTACTGGTCTCAGGCATTTTTTCAGTTGTAATTCTATGCAAATTACTTTCCTGACAAAATAATTTCAGACCTGGAAGCTGCATTTCTTGTGAGTGGGCATGAAGCAAAATGCAAAATGATTTTCAAAAGCAAGCTGTTACCTGGTGTTATTTTGCTTTGCTGAGGATGACAGAGGAGCAAGGGATTTGCATCTCCTCTGCACCTGAAGTGACTGGGACAGCTCCTCAGGCTTCTGTGCCTCTGCTTCCCACTCATTTTCAACAAGTGTGATTCTGGCTGGGTTGTATCTGTTAATGGTGGTTAATATGTCAGTGATGTAGCATGTCCAGAGCTTGGGTTAAAAAGCAAAATGTGAAGCAGCTTCTGAGAACCTGATCCTCTGAAGGTCATACTGCACAGCAGCTCTTACTGTGACCATCAGATCATTGCTCATATCTGAATAGGAGCTTCTCAAACTGCCCTCTGATGACTTTTTGACTTTCTTACCACTAAGCAACCAGGATGGTTGCATTTCAATGGGCAACTTGTATCACTGCTAGATCATCTACCCTAGTCACTCGATTAAACAATAAAAGGAAACAGCACATAAAGAAAGCGAGCTGTTGATGGGGTCCATAATAGCTCAGGTGGAGTCTCCACATGTAAAGCAATGGTCATGCAGATGCAGTGGTGTGGCATGCTGAAGTGATGCCTTATCAAAGACATCATCTCCTGCATGGGGTTCTTCTAATACACATTTGGCCCATCTGTGAGTGAAGGGCTTGTGTGATCACAGCAGATGAATTAGACCCTTAAAACAGGGATCTGGTGTGGATCCTCAGCATCTCAGCCAGCTCTGTGGGTCACAGAGGAGACAGATAAGTTGAATCTCTTCTCAAGTAACTGATTTCTGAGCTTGCCTTAATTTCCCTTACATATTACCTAAACAGAGCACAGATCCATCAGGAGACCACAGGCATATAAAGCTCAGGGTTTTTTCTCCAGAGAGGCCTAGAGCTGCCAGAAGGTGAGCAGTGTGATGTCCAGCAGCCTGAAACATAGCAAGGTCACCCGAGGGATCACAGAATCATAAAAGTAGGAAAAGACCTCTAAGACCATTGAGTCCAACTGGATGGGAGGGAGGGAAGTCATATAAGGCTTCATTACACTGCTATGTGACAGAGGAAGTTCTAGGAGATAATGAAAATACTGTGGAAAGAAGAAGTGTGTACAGAGAGAAACACCTTTGATTTGATTGTAATAAAAAATTTATTTTGATTCATATCATACTGAAAAATTAAATAAATAAAATGACAAAGAATGATCGAGACTCTCCACCATCAGAGAAAAAAAAATCATAATGAATTGTGTAGTCAGACAAAAATAGGAAGAGAATCTGGTCATGGGAGGAAAAAAGTGCTCAAGATATTTGGCTTTGGTAAAAAACATAACACACACTCAAGGAGTGCTTCAGAGACTTTGCAGTGGTGAAAAATACAGTCCAAGAGTTTGTGGCTGAGTTTTTTCCTTGGTTGTTCTTTTAAACAAAATAAACCCAGAAAGTTTCTAGCAGGAACACAGTCTTCAACAATGGCAGTGGCAATTAATTCTTCCCTCAACATCATCTGTTGGTATCTCAAAGGCATTTGAAAGAGCAGCAAAATTGTGGAGAAACTGAGACAAAGATCTAGCACCACAGTTAGCTGCCTAAAGAACTCTAGAAAATGTTCCTCTGGAATAGAATGTGATGGCACAGACTATTCTTCATCCTACACCTGGAGACATCCACTCTCTGCTCTCCTCATACTCTGAAAAATGGACATCAGTGGTACACAGTTACTGCTTGCTGTTGGCAAGAAAATTAAATGGGAATTGCAGCTTGTTCCATGATGAAGACACAAAATTTATCCGCAATAGTATGAGCCATAAGGTTTTATATGTGCTGTTAGAGGCAGAATATTCAGGGGAAAATGGGAAATTTAATTAGAACAGGAAAAGGAAACTTCCAAAACAACACAGACTAGAATATATCTTGGCTTCTTTTACCATGTTCTTTGATTCTAAACTGCCTCCTGTAATAAAAAAAAATATATCAATGGAATATGGGTACTGAACCACCATGAGTTTTCTTCTAAATCCTTCTAAAAATGACTGAAAAAGCACTTTCTGAATTCCTGACATCTTTCCATGAAAAAAAAGAAAAAGCATTTTGAGGATCCAAAATCCAGCCACAGTGTGAAGATACCACTGGGGTCTTCCATGTAGCCTTTTTCCTTTTAAAGTTGTTTTGCTTGTATTACTGCACCATCTCACCAGAAGCATATTGATTAACATCAATTTAAACATCAGGAATGCTTAAAGCAAACAAACGGACATGGCTCAGGTAGAAATGTTTCATTCTTTTACATAGGACATATAGAAGACAGTAAGCCTGTTCAATTTGCTGTGCCTATGACATGCAGGTGAGTCCTGCTGGCTATCATGCTGGGAAAGGGCTTCTTGACACAAGGATCATCAACAAGGCTCAACATGAGGGTTTGAAAATCCTGCTGTTTCCATATTCCTAAGCTGAGGGGTCACATGTAGAGCACAGGGAGCTCAATTATTACCCACATGTTCATTTGGCATCCTTGGCTCTTTGTACACCAAGGGTGCACTCATACCCACGTGGGTAAAGCAGTTTATGTTGGTGAGTGGTGCTGTGGCCCAAAATTCCAGCTGACCATGCCATTGTGCCACGTATTGCTGCCTTGGAGGGCATCTCCCTCTTACCAACTGCCACAGGAAGACAAGGGGATAAATCTTGGATGAAGCACGTCACTGATTCAAGGGCTTTCACTGAGCTTAAAATACTCATTTGCTTGGACATCCTGCCACAACTGGTGCATGGAAGAGGAGACATTTAGATGATGATTTCTTTTGCCATAAACCTCAGCCACTGTGATATATTAAAAATTAAATATGCCATTTTTAACAAGCCTGATTGGAAGTCCCTTGAAGTCTCTGGCAGACTTCACCAGAGCTGAAACTGGGTCAATAACCCATGAGTCCTGTTTTCATGAAATCAGAAGGAAAACACCACTGTTTTCCATTCTTCACTGCCTGAACTTGGATTCATACTTTATCTATCCTTGAGGCTTAAATGTGTTGATTCCAGCAAAAATCTGTGGATATAAAACCTCTACTGTAACCTCCCTTCTCTCACTGCCTAGAGGTACTGACATTAACATGCTCATTCCTCCAGAGATGCACATAATTTTGAAGCCTTATGCTGTAAGATCAGCTTCCACAGATTGTGTCTTTGTAGGTGCTGCTACAGAGCAAACGATTCTTATTGTATTACTAGTTAGTGTCCCAACCCATGATATTTTTCCCATTTCAAATAGAGACCTTGTAAAGAGATAACACTTTTTTAAATTTGTAAAAAAATAAGAAGAAAAGTTTCCTTGGGACTTTTGGATATTTTCTCATAAAAAAAAGGTAAAAGCTACCTTTAAAAATTAGTCTTGTTTGTGTTTGCTCAAATGCAACATAGGAGTTGCTATTATTGGTTTTGGCTACAAAAGTGTACCAGACAGAAGATAAACTTTGGTTAATTTCCCCCCCTTTTATAAAAAAGTTTAATTTAGGGTTTTCATCTAAAAAAAAATCACATTTGTTGCACAATTATAAAAGGCACATATAAATGACTTAAAGAAGAAAGTCCACTTTCCGACTTTAAATTGATTAAATAAAAAGAGCATTCCAGAGTATTTTCCACCAAAAAAAAAAGAAGAACAAAAGAAAAAAAAGAAGAACAAAAATTGCATATAACAAAACAAGACAAATAAGTGGCTAAAAGGGCCATTTTTTTTTCTGGAGTTTTCAGTATTGTTTTCTCCATCATTATGGCTGTATAGGAAGCAATATTAAATACTACAAGATAAGAAATGTTTTGATTCATATTTTCTAGATACTATCAATGCAGAATGAGGCAATGGTTCAAATATTTACTACTCCAGGCAACTTCATCATGTTTTTCCTTAATACAGCATGGAAACAGAAGTAATAGAGAAAACAGAAGAAACAGTTCAAAAGAAGATCAACAGCAGAAGTGAATTCATTTCTTTGAGGTAATCCTTACTATGATGTTCACAGCTGCCTTAATGGGTCTCAGGTCCCAAAGGTTGTTTTCACTCTTCTTCAAGGATCTACTGCCTTGCTCAAGGAAAGAATGGACACACAGACAGCAGTTCCTGTGCCCAGGTTTCCTCTAATTGCAACAGGCAGATCTTTCATCAGGAATTCAAGAATCAAGCCGTAGAGCCTAAGCAGAGACTAATTTATTCCCACAACTGATTGATAGCTCCCGGCTGTTCGTGGATAGGAAATCATGTGCAGCGTGGAGGCCGGTCCTCGGCCCAGTTCCTTGCAGTCTGAGATGCTCCGATTCCACCGCAGGTCCACGCCTTCAAACCTGGCTGGCACCCAGATCATCTTCACTGAGCTTTGTTCTGCTGCATGTTGGAAATTGCAGCCCCCACTCCTCCCCATGGCCAGGGTCATCTGCCCTTGAAAAATTTAATTTTTTCAATGGAGGCAAGAGTCAAAGTTATGTTGAACTCAAAATCCCCGTCATGGACGCCTGTCTTCCGGAAAGCCCCACCTGAAGTGTTGTTTTCCCAGTAGTGATGCCAGTGTCCTTTGCTGTCTGCTCCAAAGCCGTACACACTCACCTAGGATGTAAGAGACAACTAGTGTTATGGACTAGAAAGCAATTGGTCTTCATCTGAAATGTTGAAGAAACTCTCTTAATTCTCAGTGTATTTATAGGCAGCAGCACCTGAGGACATCAGTGGTATGCCAAGTTCTTCTACTGCATGACATGATGCAACCACAGATTAATGGCCCAAGGCCTCCTCAAGGGATGTTACATCCTAAGCTATGCTGAGACACCACCATACCTGGATTCAAAGAGAAAAGGAAATTTCTATCCATTCATTCTTGTTTAGCCATATGAAAAACACATTTCTACCCCTTAAGCATGATGTTTGACCTCAAGACATCAGTGGCTTGGGATGGGAATGTTGTTTTTAGCTGATAAAGGCCACAAAGAGTGAAAAAATTTTGGTTTGGTCCTAGTCTTCCAAGTAATTACCCATGTTGACCCCACTTACATGCGTAATTATATGATACTTGCAGTTACTTCAGAGACAGATGGATATTATGTTCCTTGTTTGTATACACCTACAACATTTCCTTTCCCAGAGGCTTGTTCATCAATGGCTATGCTTGTCTCCTCTGGTGGTAAAAGTCCAAACATCACAGTTAATTTATTTAAACTAAAAGTGATGATACGGCTGGGCTTGAATGGGTCATAACCACAAAACAAACTCCCTAAACCACCCACACATGGGCCCACCCAAATATGAGCTGGTTTTAAGTCATTTTTGCTAACGTCAGAGCCCTGTTCACTGCCTGCTCACCAGAAAACAGGCTCCACCCAAGTCACCCATACTTTGTCCTGGGTACTGTTTCTTCCAGCATTTTTAGTATTTCCACCACCTTTCCAAGGTGCAACACAGTCCTGGGTGATCAAAACTCTTTCATCAGCAGATCAGTATCCAGGACAGAGATTTTGCCCGCATAGTGATTTTTATCCCCCATACTGACAAGCCCATGCTTGTGGGATTTTGCAGAGCTGACCTGGCCTTACTCTAACTAGCTGAGTCTTCAGTCACCTAGGAGCACGTTAGCTCAGTCGAACTAGGGAATTTCCTCAAGGAACTGCTGAAGCAGAGGCATTTTCTATAACCTACTGTATAAACCCACAAGCTTGAGTTTAAAAATAGACCAGGGCAACAGCAATGGCTCTTAGTCCTTTAAGAGCTGGACAAAATATAATTCTTCACTAGTAAGATGGGCACAGACACCCTCCATGTTTAGGTGTCTTTTGATACCAAGTGGAATCTCTATTTATGTTTAATTATATTCTCCTGGAATGCATTTTAAACTCTACCACTTGCTGACATTAAAAAATCCATCAGTCAGTTGAGTGTGTCTGCATGTTACTGAGGAGTTTTGTATATGTTTGAATAAGTAAATGGCAGAGAAGGTGGAGAGGGTAAAACAAAGGCTGAGTCAGTGCCCAGGGGTTGTTCCTGGCTCTTCAATGTGAAATGTCCTGATTTTCTATCCACATATCCAAAACACAGTCAGACTTTACCTCATCGCATACGTGGAGAGCAAACATCAAAGACAGAAGGCCTGTGGAGGGATATCTCCCATGATGGTCGAGCCAGTTTTCATAGATGTATTTCATAAATGCTGGATTGTAAACCAGGATCTAGGCAAAATTGCAGTGAAAGACTCGTTAGTAAAATACCCTAGGGAAATTAGGGTTAGGGAAAAAACAATGATTGCACATTATTCCTTAGGGTCACTGGGATAAGGGATTGGGTAAGAAAGGAATAATAGTTATTCCTTGAGGGCAGGTGAAAGGGAAAAAGTAAGATCCATATAAAGTGTATTCAGAAACACTTCTCATGTGCAATTACATATGAATAGTCCTTCTTTGGTCTTGATATCCCACCTGCTTACACTAACGTAAATCCTGGTGATTCCTACTGAAAGCAACAGGTATGAAATGGCACAAGGGAGATGGAGATTAGGTATCAGGCATTCAACTCTCCCTGAACTCTGGGAGGTTGGATTCTGAGCAAGGCAAGCATGAGATGCTGTGACACTTTTCATAGAATTACAGATTAATTTAGGTTGGAAAAGACTCTGAAGATCATCAAGCTCAATTGTAATTTGAGTTTTCTGCACAATATGCCAACCACGTCTCGGTATCTCTATAGGTACAGGTCTCAGGAAACCAAGGATCAGGTGTAAACTATAAGGAAGCCTGTCAGGTAGTGTCAGCTGCTTTCTCCCTTTTTCTCAAACATGCAATTTTTCTACGCTTTATACTTTTTCTTATGAGACATAAAATGCACTTGATTATCTCCTGGGAAATTGTGAGTTATCTCACAGAGATGGAACACTTAAGATCAGACATGAGCATACAGTAAATCCAAGGAATGGTGGTATTCCTTGGTTTCAACGCCCTCCCCTGAATGAGGCAAATAGAGGCTTATCCCTCCCTCCATGCTGTGTCTTTAATTAGAGCGACAGCATTTCAGTGCTATCTGTTTAGCTGCAGGGCTTTTCCTTTTACAAAGTCAGAAGTTAATTGCTGATATTGCATTGGTGTGTAATAGCCTCTCACAGGGTGTTTTGCATTGCACAGTATGGGAAGAGATACAAGCTTCTCGTCTCCCCATTTGGGAAGCTGCTGTGTATCACCAGCTGCACCCTGGGCTGCTGCTACTCAACAACTCACCTTAGTGCATCTCACAGGGGTTTTGCAGAGGTTATCATGTTCATCACAACAGTTGGGATGAGCTAAGGGATTATTTAATGCACCCTAGAAGTCCATGGTTTGAAGCATAGGGATATAAACTTGTTCTAGTTCAAGGTCTCATCTGAAGCCTTTGGCAAAACCTGGTTTCTTGAATGAAGGGTGTGTGCTTTAATCTATAATTTTAATGCTCTGGAGCTAATGTCATATTTTATGAGCCCTTGAGACATTAGTCTCCTTTTGAAAATCAGCCTGTCCAAAGACTGAGAGAGTGAGATTTTTATTTTGCTGGAAGCTCTATGGAACATGTTTTTCCTCTCCCTACACAGCCTGCCTTGTTTATGTCCTCAAACCAGGCAGCTACAACAGAATTCTTTGCAGGGTGGCTTAGGGTCCAACATGGGAATTAGCATCCTGCCTCATGGGAAATCCTACCTCCAACCTGCCCCTGTACAAAGCGGGGAATACTCCCTGGTCTGTGCTGTCCTTCAAAACATGCTCCAAACTTGTTTAGTTGGTAAAGGTAGTTATTACAGCTTAGCTGTGGGTTAAGAGCCTACAATCAGGAATTTTCCATTGATTTAGAAACTCATAGTTTTATTTGTTCAGAATTCACTTAGCTCCTTATTACAAGGAGCAGACCTGGGAATGAGAAACATCCTTGGTGTTCGAATAGTAACATGATTTAGAAAAAAACCCTCCAAAATCTCTCCACAGTGCCATTACATCCAAACGACTGCAATGGGTGGCAACAGAGCAACTGCTGTGGAGGACAACGATGCACTTTTAATGTCCCTGAGCAGCACCAGAGGAAGTGATGCAACCTTCAGAACAGTGTTCGTACAACGGAATCATCACAAGGGCAATTTCTTTCCAACCTCAGTTATTTAGTGGTTGTTCTATGGCCTAAATGGCACACAGGAGCCAAACCTTTAGCTTAGCTGAGCCTTGTAAAGTGTCTGTATTTTGGCTGCAACTTTTTATGAATGTCAAGGGCTTGCTTAGATTCTTGCAGTCTCCGAAAGAGGTAAATGACCTACAAGTGAATTAGCAGAACATAATGCCCAAACCAGCATCGCTCACCTTTTCTTTTTTGACTTTGATCTTCCGTGGAACTGGAACATATGTGCTGTTAAAAGAAAAACAAAAACAGCAGTAAGATAAATAAAAGCCCAACTTATCAGTATTTTCAAGTAATTCCAAATAAAGAATATTCTTTATGCACAATAATAAATTCAAATTAATTGAAAGAAGTAAATTCAAGAAGTTGTTGTAAAATGAGGCTGCAGTTAAGTAACACAGCATGAAAAGAATTGAGCTGTCACTGAAGCAAGTTTATAGGAAACCATTTTGTTCTTAAATTTTCAAACTAATTATTGAAAGTAGGACAACGAAGATTTAGCTAAGAATATACCATAGAGCCAATACTATGTGGAGCTCAAGACTTCTAATTCTTGAATTGTGACTGTTGTAGTCTTTGCACTTTGAGGATGGGAAGGACTTTCCATTTAATTTCATGGCAGAAAAACCTTTTTCCACCAGGGGGAGACCTTTCCCCTCCTAATATTTGGAGGTACCTCACGGTTTTCTGAGTCGGTGGCAGCAGAGCTCATCATTTCTGTGGTTATGTGCAACTCGGCACTCCCAGTACACAGCCCCTCACCAGCAAGCTACTCCCCTCCTCCCCAGGGTGATGCTGAAGGCTTCCTGCGGTTCCCAGCATAAAAATTCCAAGTTATGCCTTATGACTGGATTGAAATCACAAGTCATGACTTGAAAACAAAAAAAACTTTTAGTCCCCATATCTCATGCACAGTGTGTGCTGGCATTGCACAGTCCATCACGAGTGCTGTAAAAAAAAAATCTCCCTGAGTTCGTTTCAAGTAAAAAAATTCTGGTGAACTGGCCTCATAATTGAAGTATATCCCAAAATATACTCTGCATACTTTTTAGATGTGTTGTGGTAAGTCACAAAAGCCATTAGTTTAATGTAAATGTTTTCACTTGGTTTTTGGTAACTACAAGTCTCCTGTCATTAATGTTTTATTTTCTTTGAACCGTGGAACACAAACACTTTGAAACCTTAGTCTAAATCTTCCCAAGCCAGTGGTGACCTGTCAATGTTCTTGTCTCCTTAGGTACTTCTGGGCATCCCTGACCTGCGATTCCTGCTCTAGGCTGGATGCACTGAGAAAGATGATGGGTGGTTCCTGCCCTCCTGAGAGGTGACACAAGATGCTAATGGGGAAAGGGACACTGATGCAGACTTCTTGATCTGCTCTTAGAAAAATATGCCCTTGAAGCTGCTTCCCGTGCCTGACCTTGGTTAGCAAATCAGCAGACATAGTCTTGGTGATCCCATGTCCTTTTTGTGGTTATGAAGACAAAAAGGGCTTCTTTCAGAAGAAATACCCAAGTTCTGTTGTCACTTTGCTGCAGAATTTCATAAAATTGCACGGAAAATATCGGTACACTGATAAACACCAAATGGAGACCTATGCTCTTACAATTATGTAAAACCTGGGCTGCAGGGCTGCCAGGGACTGAGTGACCCAGTAAGTACCACACAGGAGTGAGAGAGAGTGTCCTGTGATGAAGGTGGCTACGGATGGTATAACATATCATTCAGGAAACACCTCCTAGGAGCCACTTTGAAGGGCTCTAGTGAAGCCTGCCATTGTTCCTGGACACTTTGCACAAGACATTTACTGAACCCTTGAAGCAAGAGGAAGATGTGCAACATTTCAAGGAATACAAAAATAGTCCTTGCCAAACCAAGTGGAGCTTTTTTTGCACTATGCAGATTCCTAGAAGACGCAGAAGGCAAGTTAAGGCAACTAGGCTAAATATATGGCTGATGAAGGCCTGAAGGTTTCCTATCCCTGAAAAGGCTTTTCTTAGTCTTTTCTGGGATAATACTTAGTCTTAGAGAGACACTTTAAGATGGGACATATATCAGTCAAATGGGATATGGCTCAGAAAATCATTCAGCTATCAATTCAAGGTAATATTAAGACAAATTAAGATTTTGGTTTGAACCATAAAAACTCTTGGTATATTACCGGGAGCAGAATATGTTTAATTCACAAGTTTTGAGTTTTAGGAAATTATTCTTTCATTTGAATGGGATACAGAAAATTAAACCCTGTGTAAAAGTCTAACCAATACAGGATGTTTATCTTTTTTGACTGTGAGTGTACTTAGATTCTTATTAGCCTAAACTCAGTTGACACTATGCAGCCTGTGCACAAGGCACGATGACCAAGCAGGTCAGGGAAGGGAGGTAAGTACTTCTTTTCTTCTGAATTGCCAATTTTCAGATGTGTTTTATTTTTATTTCATGCCTTCTCCCCTTTAAAAACGTACACTAAACATTTTCCTTATACACAGTGTCTGACATGGTGTGTTTAATGTGTCCTCATAGGTTAATTCTGCTAGCCTAAAATTATGTTACATATATTGCTATGATTTGTGTGCTTATGATTCCCTGCTTTTATTATTCTAGAATTATACCAGCTTATTAATTATGCAATTTCCCTGCTTTGAGTATGGAAAAAATAATAAAATACTGGTATTTCTTCTGTGTGGTTAAATACTCACACACTAATTTATACCAGGTGCTTAACAAGCCCATGTATACAGTCTACTTATAAATATATAATATATCCTGTGATTTATTAAGCAAAAATGTTTTCCCTTTCATGTGCTGTGACTGCATTATAGTCAACCAGTTATATCTTCCTAATAGGCTAAGGGCTCACTCGACTTGCAGTGCAGACCTCAGAGCTCAGGAAGTGCCTAGAGCTTTCTCCTGGGGCAAGGATAGGCAGTAGATCTGCTTGCAAAAGGCGTGCCCAGGTGAATTATAGAACCACAGAATCATAAAATCATTTAAGTTGGAAGGACCTCTAAGTCAGAAGTTAACTCAGCACTGCCAAGTCATCACTAAACCATATCCCCAAGTGCCACACCTACATGTCTTTTAAATCTCTCCAGGGATGGTGGCTCCACCACTCCCCTGGACATCCTGTTCCAATGCTAGACAGCACTGTTGGTGAAGAAATTGTTCCTAATGTCTAATCGAAAACTCCTCTGGTACAGCTTGAGGCCATGTTCTCCGGTGTTATCGCTTGCTACGTGGGAGAAGAGATTGACCCCCATCTCACCACAAACCTCTTTTCAGGTACTTTCAGAAAGCAATAAGGTCTCCCCTGACCCTCTCTTACCCCAAACTAAACAACCCCTGCTATCCCAGTTGCTCCTGATCAGACTTGTGCTCCAGACCATTCACCAGCTCCATTGCCCTTCTCTGGACAGGCTCCAGCACCTCAGTGTCTTTCTTGTAGTGAGCTGTCCAGTTTTCTAAGTGGGCTGATTTTTCCAAGTTACAAGGGTATCCTGAGGGTGGATTTTTTTCAAGACAACTTACCACTATATAGATTAAATGCTGGTGGTGAAAAGGATAAAAGGAAACTAACCCAGATTTGTTACAAGTTAATAAAATCTTAACAAGAAGTGAAAATAATCTAAAATGCAAATGCAAAGAGAGAAAAGAAAAAAAAAAGATATAAACTTCATTTTTTGTTCCATCAAAAAGCTTTCTGTAAAATTGCAAAGTGGGTCTTATGCCCAGTTAACATGCCCAGGACATATTTTTCCAAGCTGTAAATGTTCTGAGACTTTGAAATTGGGAAAAAAGTTGAAATTCTTGAAATACTTCTCTCTGGAATCAAGTAATCTGATCTGCTCTTTTTGTCTGTGTGTTGCAGAGTGCCACCAAGTAATCCCACAAGGCTGTGGTTTTACATCCAGCAGATAACTTCACACACAGTACAAATGTCACATACTTCATTCTCTGGATTAGGAAAAGCCAGCTTATGGGAAGGGAGAGAATCTGGTAGTAGGCGTCCAGCAGAAACATGCATTTTGATTGCATTTCTAATTCTGGCGCTGCCATATTAAGCAGGACAACCTTTACTTCTGACAGCACTCATAAAGAAGTACTGGAGAATAAATTCCAGTGTGACACATTATTGACAAGAAGAACACTTGAATTTAAGGCTAAGACATGCAGGTGACACAGAACGTTGTCTCCTCTGCACAATTCTCAATCACATTCCACCGGGAAAGACAGACCAAACTCCTGACCAACCTGTCCAGGGGAGAATGCTGTGGATGGGGCATGAAGTGCTGAGGTCTGCATCTGCTCTCACTGCTCAGGTGAGCAACCTGCACACACCTCTCCCTCCTCATCCTCTTCTACAAGTGGAATATTGTATGTTGGAGGACCACTTGGCCACCCAAGTGTCTTGGGTGGGATAATGTAGGTGTCTAGGACCACCACTAAATGAATAACCCACCAAACACTCGATTCTGCAGATAGCTTTCTGATGGGTACATGCTGGCTGCACTCACTGTACTCCCAAGGGACCAGAGACAAGGAAAGATGAGCAGAAACCCAAAATGAGGCACTGAATCCCAAAGCTCAGGAGGCTTCTGCTCAAACTGGCTGCCTTCAGCAGCAAAAACTCCCCTTTTCATATCTCTGAGAACACTGTGTGGGGTTGTGAAGAAATGGGTCTAGATCTTTGCCTCAATGACTGCACCATAACATTAAGCTTTTCCTAGAAAGTAAGTGTTCAGGGCTGAACTCTGATTTGAGAGGGCTGTAAAGCACCCCTAGGCCTTATCAGAAGCAGGAATTTGTCCCATGTAAGCTATGATCTCCTATAGCAACATGAAGCATGGAGCTTCCACCCTCTGTGCCTGCCCCTACTCACAAGTTGATGGTGCCTGTGGTGAGAGCGGTGACAACCCAGCGCAGGTCCAGGGTTTTGAAGGGGATCAGGATCATGCTCACATTTGCTGCCAGCTCTTTGTAGCTCTCAGGATAAACAAAGTGGTGAGTGGTCTTGCTCCCAACATCTGATTCGTAGCCAGCGGTGGGGGCACGGTTCATTCTGCAGCCAAAAAGTAAAAAGTGAGAAAGTGAAGAAACAGAAGAGGAATTAGGTAGGTACAAACACATGTGAAAGTCATTTGCTTGAGGCAGGAACATGCTCCTATGACTCTTCACACAGCCTTGACTGGGTGTTGGGGTCCTCAAGTAAGCTGGAATCATCATCACCCATATGGATAAACAGTAAATGAAAGCTCAACTTTGGTGTGGAATTTCTTGATTGAATAGGAGTGTCTATCAAGAAGGTATATCTCTGAGCATACTCCTGATTTCCCTTTACAGTCAGAAGAGAGCTGATTAAAAGAGTGGTAAGTCCAGGAGGACATATCTCATTTTATCCTAAAGCTGCATCCTCCAGTTGACGAGAAAAACATTGCCCTGAAGTACATCAGCTTGGCTTCTTGCAGTTTCTTTCCCCCCACCTCTACAGGTGTATTTGAATGTCTAGGATCGAGGTAATAAACTATGTTATGTGTGATGAGGAGCAGCCAGTATTCCTTATGGTTGTCCCATGAAAAGACATCAAAGCCACAGTGACAAATACAGGACCTGCTGCTGACCCTTCATGTACTCAAACCTTACTTTGTAGTGTTTCCTCCAACACTGATACATCCACTCAGAGTGACTGTGCACACATGTGAGCTGCTTTAGGCAACCCTGGGGTCAGTGCATGGAGATCTGCCCAGGGCCACCAGGGCTCAGTCAAGACGTGTTGGCCAAACAGGGCTACCCCACCTTGTGTCGTGTGTATCAGGAAACAGAGAGGGAGATTTTGAACTTAGGGGGTTTTGGAACTGCAGAAATGCCTTTATGCTTGTGTTCACTTCTGAAAGCAAATCTGGGAACACATCAGCAATTCTTTCCCCTGATGCTTTAGCCCCTTGGTGGTAGATTTGCATATTTCTGTGGTGCACCAAAGTGCACATCAAAGATCCCCAAAGCAACTTGCACAAATCCATGGTGCTGTGAAACACCATGGAGAAACCCTTCAGCTGTCTCTGAGCACAATGGGGTTTTTCTGCAGTGACATTAGCTCACTCCTGGCAGAAGCACAAGGAGGACAAGGAAGGATGTAGCTGATGAGGTGATGAGGAGCATCGTACGTTGCCAGATAATATGCTGCCCTGGATGCTGCTAACAGGGGAGGCAAAATCTGCTTATCAAGCCTATGCCAGGCTGTGTTATTGCAGTGCTCTCCCAGGTGAATTACTTAAGTTTCTTCTAACTCCCTATGAGGGAGTTATTAGCGTAGGCAGAATAGCCTGCCAGCCTACGTGGATTTCTTATTGAGTTCTCTGTTATTGGTTTCCCTGCCAGCGACCCTTATCAGTGTAAAAATACCAGTAAAGCTTGAGTCTTTCTATGTTTTGTCTTGAGGTTAGTCAGTTGAAGGTATAAAATATGGAGGTTTGTTTCTCTCAAGATGAAGACAATGGCGACATCTTAGTTATCTTGCAACCTTGCAACCTGCCCTCAGATCTATGTACCTTTCCTACCATCCGTGGTGGGGCTGTCTGTGCCACATGGCAGAAGGCAGTGTTCACACCCAGTCTCAGCAGGAAGGACTGAGCAGGAATTTCCTTTCTGTCATGGAAGTAGATAGTTATGCAAATAAAAGTGGGTTGGAACACGCTGTAAGGAAAGGTGTCCCCTCAGACTCTCTGGCTCTTCCTTACACTCATCTGTATTGCCAGAGCACGTGGAAGTGAGTATCAGGTCACCAGAGATTTTGTGTTTGACGCACAGAGGCATCACCTTCTCTGCACAAATTCCCATGGTGAATCCTAAAACCTTGCGCAATCCTTTCAGATCTGGCTTAAGATTGCTGAAATATAAATCCGAGACTGGAAGGTTGAATTTCAAGTCACAGAGAGTTCTGCCCTTGCCAGGGATGCATGGCTGTGGGATGGGCAAGGCCTCAGAGCAGAAACATGCACCTGAGTGTGTTACTCTTTAGTTATCACTTTAAGTCAAGCAAAGCCTTTTCTGTATCAATCTGGAAACATAGGCCAGGCAATATAAGAAAGTCCACGCAGGAGTGAGACGGTCTTCATAGGGATGGACACAGAGTTTTGCATAAATGCACCACAGCTTCCCACATTTGCAGCTGCCCCACATTTGCAACCTGTAGGACTAGTGTTGAGGGCTCTCCCTTTCCCTTTGTGGATCTCAAGACCAGGCTGGCTGCCTCTGCCTTTGGGGAGGTACTTTTGGCAGGGAGCAAGATACACAACTGAAAGAAGCAAGTCCTGAAGTGATTTGTTGTGAACATTTAGATGTCATCTGAAGACTCTATGGCATGTCTGAGTCACATTGGAAGCCAAGATGGCTTAACAGTTCAAATAGTGCTCATCTTTTTTTGATTTACTCTTGGTTTCAGCGCACAGCTTCCTACTGAGTGTTTCGTTGTTTCTGAGAGTGTAATCCCACTTGTGGTATTTTCAATCCCTCCCTTCCTACCCTTTATTTCTCCCCAAATTGTACTGTACTGGTAGGTGTGGTGTGAAAGGCAGACGATACGTTGGAGATTAACTTAGTCCATGAATCTTGGCTGCCATCTGGATGATTAGCTCTGCTTACCTAGTTCCTGCTTGCATCTCAGTGGGACAAAGTAGCCAACTTCATTGCCTCAAAAGGGAAAGGAGACGTGATCCTTTAAAAAGTACCTGCAGCCAAACAGCTGCCTCTTGTCCACTGAAAAGTGATTTTGGCTTCCCCACCCCACCATTGCTTGAGAATGAACCAGTGCAAGAAAGTAAAACCTGATACAGTCAGTTAAATGTCTAAAAGATCATTTGTGAGTAATAGCTGCAGAAGTAGTTTTTATTCAAAACTGACAATTTCTTTTTCATCTCTGTTTTTTAACACGGATGATTATGGATTATGCGGAACAAGCTACAGTATCAACAGCTATTAACACTTTTTTTTCCAAGCTAAAACATGGGGTCATATCTCCAACATACATAATTTATATTCCTGGAACTTAGATTTGACTTTAGCACCAGATTTCACTAGATAGCCCCTGAAATCTTGTTTGCTCACTTGTCACCCAAAATACCGGTGAATTTTAGACAAAAAAGGGATCTGGAGCTGAGGTGGTTTTTACTCACCTGAGCACAAAGTCATGGGAGTCAATATCTCGGCCATACTGCGACTGCCGGAGGTTCCCAGAGTTGCCCACGACAGCGCATCGTCTGCACGTGTAAGTACCTCTCTCCTGCAGGGGATCCCCGTCCCCGGGAATGACCCCAAACAATTCTGCGAGAGTAGTGTTCAAATTCCTCGGAGCTTTCTCTGCTTGCAATTTCTGTTAGGGAGAAAAATCATTTCAGGTTATCAATACAGGAAGCTCTTCTGTGAGCTAGACATAGCTTCAAATGTCTCCTCAAATATCATTCTTGGGTCCGCCTGAAGACACTGCTTTCTGCAGCACAAGGCTTGAGGTTGGGAGCCAAAGTGTGAAAAAAATAAAGTAAAAACCATTTCCCATTAACTTTTTTAACTTGACTCCCCTTTTCTCCTCCATCTCCTCAGATTCCCACACGTTCTCAGACTCTGTCTAGCCATGAAGGAACAGATCACGCATTCTCCGCAAGGCTGGCCTTAGAATAAATGTTCCTCTGGTGTCTATAAGCCTGCACTCACCCTGGGCCAGGTATCTTCTGGTAGGACTTGTATAATGTCTTTTAGCTCTTCTAAAAAGGACAGAAAAGTCTCAGAGAACCTGATGGAACACAGAAATGGCTTATATCCCTTCCACATATTTTGGCATATGCCAGAAGTGGGAGAGGGAGATGGGAAGTGAAGTGTGGAGGAACCAGCTGCTTGTGCAATAGAAAACTACAGTAGAGTTAGCCCTGAGGGCTGGAGATGCAAAGTCATCTAAAAAAAATCTCCAGGATGAGGAAAACCACCCGGACCTTGGTCATTGTGTCTGTTGCCATGGAGGGAAACTGTTTTGTAGCAGCTCTATGGTGCATGGTGGAAACAATGGATTGGGAAGGTACAGGCAAGGTGCAGGGTGGGTGATGGTCAGACACTCCCTTTCTGGGGCTCAGCTCTCTGAGGTCTACTAAAAAGTTTGAGAGTGCTGGCAGGTTCAGAGACACCATTGCCCATCCTCGTGGTGTTACTTGCTTGCAAGCTCACAAAGGGAGAATGGCTCCAGCACAAAACGGGCCAAAAAGGCTCTGTCTTGCTCTGCCAGCCCAGGGCGAGGAGAGACAGGGAGGAAGAGAAGAGAAACACCTTTTCCCACGACTCCCAGGAATGGCCTGGGGGAATTTGGCTTTAGTTTCCAATGCGTTTCCCTTGGCTGCACCAGGAACTGTTAATTTGTCCTTGTATCTCCCTCTCTCACACAAACAGATGTAGTACTGTAATTTTTGTTTAAATTCTGTGCTGTCTCCTTGCAGAACGTTATTTGCACTGAAATGAACAACAGGTCTGTGGAGTTCAGAGCTACAAGACGATGTTAAGACCAAGAATTTGAAATAAAGGAGACAAAGACATTTGTTTTCATACATAGACTTTGCATACATAGACCTAATCTTCTGACTAATCCTTCCTAGCCTATATACTTGCATATGGACTGCAGAAGGTGATTAGGATGAAAGGTAATTAAGATGTCCAAACAAATACTACATTAATGACCACATATGTCACTGTTCAGTGGATGGCTCAATTACTTAAGTGAAAAAGGATGTCTTCCAAATTCATGTGTGATAATAAAAACACATGGCCACATATCTAAACTCTTGTGTATTCTTTGTGAATCCAATCTAACCCGATATTACTCTGAATATGTGAAAAACAATGTTAGAAAGCCTGCAGCCTTCAAAATAATTAGAGACTTCATAGATGTCATAGAGTGTAGTAGCAGGTGCATAATGTAGTAAAATCTGACCTTTTTTAAAAAAGGAACTTGTTTTGAGTTATTTGCATACACATTTGCACACACCCACATATACTCTCTCTCTGTAAAGGTGAGCTGATTTTAACTGTATTTAAGAAATGAAAGGCAAAACCACCAAAATATTATTCTTGAACTGATTTTGCCTGAGAAAATTCAGATGTGGAAGGTAATTTTGAGAAAATTCTAAAATTCTACCTGGGCTCCCTTTTTCGGTTAAATTGCCTTTTCATCCAGAATGACAGAATCATAAAAGGAAAGGATCTGGAGTATTGATACATTTTTGATGCATTAAAATGGTAAGAAACATCCTGGATAGGCACCTGTATTTGCACAGCACAGGCATCTGCCTTTCTGTTATGCTGCTGTCAGTGTAGAGTAACTACTGCAAATAAGTTGAAACATGGGCACTAACATCAGCCTGAAAGCAGGATACCATCATCCTACAATCCCTCAGTTGTGCACAACTCCAACAGGAAAGACTATTAATAATGTTAGAAATCCTCTCAGTGACCTCAAGTAGGATGATGACCTTACTGCACTGTGTGCTGGACATTCATACAAGACATTTGTGTTTAACTCATTTCAAGTCCTCTGCTTAAATTTGCTCAATGATCATCTGATTGGACTTTACTTTTCAGGCCTAATCTTCAATTAACACTAGTCAGTCTTTGATTTTTCAACAAAACAGAGAAGAGTAGGGAACAAAGGTGGTTAACTCCAAAGCACATCTAACTTCTAAAAGTTCAGATCTAATGCACAGTCAATGCCTTATTGCACTGTTTGCTTGGCTTATTGAAAAAGACCATTTTAATAGCATTACAATTACAAGCCGATTATAGTTCACTTTCCCCCATCAAATTTTTGTCCTTTTTTTTTCAGTAATGTAATTTTATTTTTTTTTTAACAAAGTCTGGCCTTTCCCATAAATCAACAGAAGCATTGGGTGAAAGTCTGTCCACTCTGTGCAAGGCAGAGCCATAGCAGTGCTATGTGGCATTGCTGGGACAACATCCTCTCACCAAGTTTTGTAGTTGAGTGACAGGGATATGCATATGGATATAGCTGCTAGAAGTGGCCTTATATACACTGAAATACCTGACCCCTGTGTCCTGAGTGAAGTGGCTGCTTTTCTCAGAGGTCTGTGCAAACAATACCTGTGTCTAAAGAAGCAGTTTAACCTCTTGCCCAAGATCACAAAGCATCTTAATCCACCTTCTGTCCATATATAAAATATTAATAGATCACTTAACTGTCGAGCTTCCCTGCATAAAATATTTGCCTGGCACTTGAGAATTAACTCTTCACCTTAGATTGTTAAAAATCGTAATCGGGAGTTCTGATTGAGAAATTTTCTAATCATCTTCACAGGGAAGATGTTATCTAAGCTGTTATCCAGCCTTTCAAAACTCCCCATTTCACATACAGAAATTTACTAGTTGGATTTACATCTTCTTATTTTAAAAAAATCAAGCAAGAAAAAAAAAAAGGCAAGAAAAAGAACCCTCAAAGTTTATGCACTTTCTTTCTTTAGCCATGAATGGCTTTCCAAGGAAGTGCTTGTTCCTTCTCTCATCACTATGCATGCACCTTCATTAAAGATGACAAGGGATTTGCTGCTTTATAAACTGCTCAGAAAGCTTTACTGAGCTCTCTGGTACCATCACATTGACAGCTACTGCAAGAAGCAATACCTAAAAGCTTGGTTAAGGGGTTGCAAAGGGAGAGTGTAAATTCGGCCAAGGCTCTCAGAGCTAATAGCTTGGAGTGGTGATGATACAGCTACAGTCATTGAACCATAGAATACTAGAATGGGTTGAGTTGGAAGGGACCTTAGAGATCATCTGGTTACAACCCCCCTGCCATGGGCAGAGACAGGTCCCACTAGATCAGGTTGCCCCAAGCCCCATCCAACCTGGCCTTCAACACTACCAGGGATGGGGCATCCACTTCCTGGGTAACCTGGGCCAGTGCCTCACCACACTCAAAGGAAAGAATTTCTTCCTAATAACTAATCTTAAACCTACCCTCTTCCAGGTTAAAGCCATTACCCCTTGTCTTACCACTACATGCCTTTGTGAAAAGTCCCTGGAGCCTTTTCTTTTCTAAGTTCAACAACCCCAACACTCTCAATCTGTCTTTATAGGAAAGATATTCCAGCCTCTGAGTATCTTCCCAGCCTCCTCTGGACTTGGCCTAAGAGATCCACATCCTTCTTATGTTGAGGCCTCAAAGGAGTCAGGAGAACCTCAAAGGAATACTGTCCTGGTGCCTGTGCACCCTGCACAAATGGTCAAGTTTGGCAGTGTATTAAACACAACATCAAAATCCAAAATTATTAGCAGGTTGAATAGATTAACTTGTAATCTTTGGTGTGATGTGGATGCAGGTAGAACACATATCAAGGCAGACAGGTACAGGTGTGGGTCTGGCAGCAGCTAGCACTGATGAGGCATCACTGCCAGCGTACAGCCAGGCTGCTGGGGGAAGTTGGTGTAGCAGTACTGGGGTTTGTGGCTTTTCTAAATTTTTGAACTGTTTTTAAAAGTTTAAGAGGGAATAAAGCCCCATGAGAACCTCTTTTGCACAGCTACTAATTGCCTTGCTGCAGCAGTTTGGAGGCATTACACTCATGCAACACTATAAGACATTATACATTATATGAAGATTAATCCTAGCAACTCTGGTGGGGCAAACCCAGGTAATCTCCATTTTGCAGACTGAAGGGGAGGTTAAAAGGAAACCATCAATTTTTAAAATTCCCCCTTGATTTGGAAAATATGGCATTATTATTGTCTTGTAATTCTTATGCATCAAAGAGTTGGAAGGGGAAGAATATACATGCTTTCATGAGTCTGGTCTTTGTTTAATGATTTGTGTCATCAAAAAATTTACGCTCTCACATATGAATGCATATGTGCATATATTATGTAAATAGCACACAATAATATGCATATGCCAAATTGTGTGATTTCTGACTGCCATGACTGATATGAGTCACCTCTACGCCACTCTTGTGTCAAGACAATGCCTGTGCAAGCTCTGTGTGCCCTTGTTTCTGGCTTCAGGGTGTTTGCAGCTCAGGACAGTGCATCACAGTGCTTAGAGAGACCTGTGAGCTTGGACCACCTTCACATCCATCTATCTTCACCATAGGAGGAGCAGCTCCAGCCCAGCAGGACTCGTGTGGTGGCTGCCAGTGGGGGTAAGAGGTAGTCCAAGGTCAGGTTCTTCCAGTATGCCCATATCTGATCTAAATGTCATGCTTCCAACCAAGCAGTGCAACAGCAGAAGGGACTGGCACGTGGCAGGTACTGGGAGCAGAGCCTGGGACCTGGCCTGGATTCGGTACCACCTTCTGCAGAGATCTGGTAGCTACAAGCTTCCTTCAGTGTGCTGAACCCTTCAAAGTGTCACCGAGAGCATCCTAGTTTTAAAGAAAACTTCTGGTGATCAAAGCACTTGGGCACATTTTCTACAAAGAGCATTCAAAATGCATGACTCAGGTGCCAAGGAGCTCTGCCGCTGTCTTAAAAATAAGTGCAGCTTCCACAGCTTCCCCAGGGCACGTGTTGGGGATGCCCTTTTGTTCACTAGCTGGTTAGCAAATTTTTAAGCCATATATTACATTTTTTCCCACAAACATAATGATTTAAAACTAATATTTTCTTTTAGATAAACCAATAACATGGCCTCAAGAGCTGAGCTATCTTCCAAAAAAAAAGAAGGCAAAACTCTCAAATATCATAAAACTCAAGATAAAAATTGCTATAACACGATAGTTTATGAACAATGTGCTACAGATAAAATTGCCAGGAAACTCTGAGCCTGAATTTACTTATCACACCTTTAATCCATCAACCTCAAAACGTTTATTTTGAATTTAGAACAGCATGTTCTGATCTCATATTTTTAATACTTTATGACCACTAAGAACAATGCATCCACCCCTGAAAAAAAACCAAGAAAACTATAAATAAATGCTGTGCTGTGTTACAGCATGTAATTCTTGATGTGTTTCCTTATATATGGGTTACTAAGTTTAGTGAGAACATCCACTGCATTTGTGTCATAGTAAAACAATGGAAAACTTGCAGGTGGACCAGCTCAGGAAGGTGGGAAAGAAAATATAAACAGAAAGGAATGTATCATGTAACACCAGGTGCCACCTTCCAAAACACTGAGACTCTCACAGTCCCTGAGAATAAGGTGAGGGAAAGTAAAGAAGAGAGAGAGGAGGTGAGAGACAGGAAGGGAGGGAGGGAGGGAGGGAGGGAGGAAGGGAGGGAGGGAAGGAGGGAAGGAAGGAAGGAAGGAAGGAAGGAAGGAAGGAAGGAAGGAAGGAAGGAAGGAAGTTAGTTAGTTCTAACAAAATGGTTACAGCCTGGAATGGTTTTAAGGCCCAGATCCTTCCCTAGAGCGGAGGACTTGAATTCAACTTTAAGTCACAAAGAGCATGGAGCAGCTGCAAGAGTGTATCCAGGAGGAGAATTTTGGCCATTATTTGCTACCAGACAAAAGTGATGAAGACAGAGTTTATCAGCTGTGTAGATTTAAGCAAATGAAAAGCAATGAGCAGTCCTGACAACATCCCTCTTGTTTCCATGAACACAGAAACAGCCAGGTACGTTTTCAGGTGCTTCTCCAGAGCAGCCCTGCCTTGTGCAGCAGGATGAGCCGCTGCAGGGATGGTGGCACTGACCTTCTCTTCTCTGCTCCTTCTCACCTTCACAGGTGGTAGCACTAAATCCAGTATGGACAAACAACTTTATTCAGAGCAGGTAGGAATATTTCCTTCCAAAAGGCCACATTCCACCAAGATAAGAGTTTAAACCATATATTCTCCAAGTAAACCATGAAGCAGCCTGGCAGCCATGTAAGCAAGTGAAACCACCCCATTCTTCAGCCTCAAATGCCCCTTTGTCGCCAATATTGGCCATTAGTCTCTGAAATCAGTCCTCACCGTCCTAGCACTGGAGGGATACTAATGCTGCAGGACAATTTGGATGAATAACATTCACATGTACAGCAACAGAGCTAAAGGGGGAGGGAGGGCAGACTGAACTTGGTAGACGGGCAGCTCTCCAGCAAGGGCTCTGCCTGCATTTAGTCCAAACCCATCCCATGACAGGAAAGTCACAGCCATGTAATTAATAACTCCAGTGAAGTCACCATCACCTCAGAGTCTCAGTTACAGCACAAGGAAACCACCACACTGTCTGAAGGCAGTTCCTGAGAGCGAACACAGTCATTTCTCCCCTGAATAGAAGTTTGAGCAATCTCAGGTTTCCTCATGCCTCATCTTTATGTACAAATATAGTAAAAAGTGACAAATTACTGTGTTGGCAAAGCCCACAAGAGTAAAGCATGGCCATGAGCAATGTTTTCTTAAAGACTGGCTGAAATCTCAGGATCACTTTGAAGATGAACCTAAAAATGAACAATGAAAAGGGAGTGCCGTCAGGATGCACCTGGGAGTTATTTACTGCAGAAATGACACTGACTGTCTTGAAAAAGCTTAACCAAAACAACATGTACATTAGAAATCAGTAGCAATGAGGAGGTGAGGCCACATCGTGTCTGGGTTTACCCAAGACCATCTTTCAGAGGAGTCAGGGCACTTTCTCCATTTATCATGGGTTAGGGCAAAGATTTCCAGTAAGTTACTGACTTCCAATACACAACGCAGTTTTGGGGGACACCAAAAAATTTCACACATCATGGTGGAAGATACAAAATGTCTAGAAATATTAAAAGATTTATTTTTACCATCTGAAAAAAAAGAATGCTTTGATTTTGTATTCTGAAGTGGTATATTCCCTTTGAACTTGATCTGAATTAAAAAAAAAAGAAAGAAAGAAAACACTAAAATAGGGTTAGACAGCTCTGAAAATTAATGAACAGCTTTTATTTGGGGCAGAGGAGGGAAGACTTGACTGTTCTGAAAGTCAATGTTTTTTTCATTTTGCTGAAAAAGAAACAGACCTCCCCTGAAAGAATCTGTTTCAGGTTAAGTTGAATTTTTAATGCACTGGTGAGGCCACATCTCGACTACTGTGTCCAGTTCCGGGCCCTGCACTTCAAGAAGGACACTGAGGCGCTGGAGTGAGTCCAAAGAAGGGCAATGAAGCTGGTAAAGGGTCTGGAGCACAAGTCCAATGAGGAGTGACTGAGTAAACTGGGGTTGTTTAGCCTGAAGAAGAAGAGGCTCAGGGGTGACCTTATCATTCTCTACAACTGCCTGAATGGAGGTTGTAGCCAGGTGGGGGTTGATCTCTTCTCCCAGGCAACTAGGGACAGGGTAAGAGGACATAGTCTAAAACTGCACCGGGAAGGCTTAGGTTGGATATTAGGAGGACTTTCTTCACAGAAAGGGTGATTAGATATTGGAATGGGCTGCCTAGGGAGGTGATGGAGTCACTGTCCTTGGAGGTGTTTAAGGAAAGCCTGGACATACCATCATTTGCAAATTCTGGATTTACCACCTAACTGCCGGGGACTTTTCTAGCTTGGAGCAAGCGAACATGCACTACAAGTCCCTGTGAGCTAAACAGTAGCACAAACACCCAGTTCCTCCCACCTCTGCCTTCCTTGTCAGCTGAGACAGCAAATGCTTTTGGCAGAAACCATCTCTTGCTATCTGCTCAGCATCACTTGAAGCCTGAAACCGTGACTGTCACTCAAACTCTGGGCTGTATCCACAAGTCCCACTTACCAGCCACCACCTGTAGCTGTCTTCTGGGATCAAGGCATTTTGTGAGGTCAAGAAAGGTTGCATAGTTGAATTAAATCTCTGATCAAACCAGAGGGAATGTCCCATCTCCGAAATGCATGTGTGACAGCTGCAAGGTCTCCTGGGGTACTTGAAGAGTTTTTGGACTTGCTCTGAAAACTGCATGACGAGATGTCTGGGATCCCAGGTGGTCGTGGTCACTTGGTGTGTGTAGTTCAGCAGAAACGATGTTACCGTGATGAGCAAAAAGGCGAATGTAAACATTTTCACATTTCTCCTCCTTACAACCATCTTTGCCACTCAGGTTCTGCCACCACTGGTGATCAAATACAATGTAGGGTCCAGTGTAAGGCAAAAAGGAAAAGGTGCAGCAGGCACCGATCAATTACTACTCCGGGCTTAGGCTGAACAGACTAACTCCAATACCTTCATCCATAAGGGAAGAAGCTTCATCTTTCCCAAACGGGCTTAAAAAAGGCAAAGCTGAGTATTTCCTTTCATTTTCTCAGAGTGCTTCCAAGTTCCTTCCACCTCTCTGTGTCCTGCTGCTACCCTCTCCTGATGAGAGTTTAATGGACACAGACGCTTGTCTTTCTGTGTACCAGAATATTTAAAGGGGAGCAATATCAGCATTAAAATTCAGGTTTTGAACATAAGAGTAAGCCAGACATTAAAACAAGCAAATTGTAGAAAGAAGAGGGTGGTTATTCTTTTTCTTAGAAGTTAGTTCTTGAGGGATTGGATCATTTGGGGATGTACATTCCATCAGAGAGACATGCTTTGACGCCCATTTAAGCCATGGAGAGCAGTTTGCAACCTAGAGACAAACAAAAAAAAAAAAAGAAAGAAAAATAATTTTCAGAATTTTTTTTGCATTCCTTCCAACCTATTTTCTCTGCTTTTCTCGGCCAATCCCAAAACTTCTGATCAGCTCAGAGACCTGAACACAGCAGCAGCAGCTTCCAGCTCTGCTGTGGTATTTGCATACTGAGAAATTTCAAGGTGAAATTTCGGAAAGGGCAGAGCATTGACCTGTGGACATTGAGTCTCTTTGTATTGAATCAGCCTCCTCGCTCTGCTCTGGCCTTATTTGAATTACAGTTTGTAGCTATTTGAATGGCAATGACTCACCACCTTTCTTCAAGATGACCTTGATAGCCACAAGATATGCAGCAAAGTGTTCATAACTCAGAGCAGCTGAACAAAAAGCACCCGGCAAAGGAGGGAGGAGCAGGATAGGGAGAAGGATGAATTACTTCCTTTCTCTTGCTCCCCCCCCAGCTTGATTTCTTAAAGATTGGGACTAGACTTGTGATTCAGAGAAGCCAAGCAAGAACAGCTGTCATGTCCTGGGACAGAGAGGGGAAATCAAAGTATAAAATAGCCTTTGTTTCACATGGGTTATTGCTGTTTTTCCCACCAAGGAAGGGTAGGTGACGGCAGCCTGTGATCTCAGAGAGTTCCTATGAGACCCCAAGAGAGAGGTAGAGAGTCATGAAGCTGTCTTGGGCATACAGAAGAAAGAGCTGCTCACCCTTCACCTCTTGGTGTCCTGGGCCTAGCAGCAGTGATTTAAAGATTTTAAAAGTCAAAAAATTAGTCCCTTCCTCCCACAGTGCTGTTGTTTTGTGGGAAGAAAAACATGTTACTGTGTCAGAATATGTCCAATTTACGAACAAGCAAAAGCCCAGAGAGATAAGTCTCATTCACTGCTAAGCTGCAGGTTTCACACCAACAAAGAACAAAACTGCAACTTTTACCATTAAACCCCACCATTTTAACCCATTCTGTGTGCCACATTGATGCAGAATCCCCCTCATTGCATCACTCAAATGTGATGCTTATCCAGATGTGGGGGAAGAGTAGCTGGTAGCCACAGCATCCCCAGCTTTGCTGCTGCCTCCTCTTCTGGGGATCTTAGAGGAGCTGCCCCAGGCCAAACCACTTTTCCAAAGGGTTTGACAGGGCATCTTGGAAACAGCATAGACTTGGATTTTTGAGGTGGTGTGTAAACATTTACCAAGTCCCAAAAAGCCGAATCCGAAGACAGGAGCCTCAGCCCATGGTCTTGAGCCTTTGCTCCAGGTTTCTCCCTGCCTGTGATGGGCAGCATGTGCCCTTCAATTAGCTGCTGATTGCCAAATGCCTCAAGATTTATTTTAAGTCTGGCCCCTCCAACTGCATTTATAGGAGCTCAAGGGCTGATGAGTGGGTCAGACTGGATAACAAAAGGCTTTATTAACCCCGTCTGCTCATGCTCCTTCCACGGTAATCACACAGCACCAGGAAATCCTCAGGTGCTTGCTTTAATGTTTAAGAGGGAAGTTTTTGGACTAACCAGGAATCTTCAGAACTATTTCCAGGTAAAGTTCAGGAATTGCATCCTGAGAGGTGATGAGGATGCTGCCACTGTGACTTGGAGATTTAGAAAGGGAGCTTAGGAGAACAGCCCCCGTACACAGCCCCATCCACACCAGCTGGTCTCTGTGTCACAGAGCAGCCCCAAACACATTTGCTTTACAAGCCTGGATATAGTGTTAGTCTAAACAAAAACACAGCCTCTATCACCTCCCAAAATATGCCAAATCCCAGAAGCAAATTAGTTCTCCATTTATGGAGTGGATAATTCAAGAGCTGTGATGCTGGGGGGTCGAACCCCCACTGCTGTCAGTGCTAGGCCAAGTCAGTATTTGTAAACACAACTCCTGCTCTTCTGTTATATTTTTCAGAGGAGGAGGGAGAGGGATTATCCAGCCTTTCTTGGAAAAAGTCTATAAAATGGAGTATTGTTCGTAAAACAGTTCTGGCCTCCAAAACAAGCACTTATTTCATCAGATTTATTTATTTAATTTCTGTAATTCAGCTAAGGTTAAAGTTATATTTACAATTTGGGAAAGAAAAAAAAAAAAAAGAAGACCCAAACCAGTGTTTACACAGTGGACTGCAATGTTTTCAAACTTCTAATCATCCTGTCTTTTATAACATGTGATGGGAAGGTGAGAAACCAGAACTCCGAAGGCTTTTTTCCCATGTGGATATAAACACTCTATGATCTATTTTAATTGTTGTTACTTAGTTTCCTATGAATGTTCACTTTTCCTATGGATACTTGTGATAGAAATATATATATACATATATAACAAATGTATACATATATACCTCACAGAAAGGCTCCAGGGACTACATATGTGATTTAGGGCCTGAGGAAAAGGAAGACTGAAGGCAACCAGCAGTAGGACAAGCAGTAGGACTTGAGCTCTGCCAGGGGAGGTTTAGGTTGGATATTAGGAAGAAATTCTTTACAGAGAGAGTGAGCAGACATTGGAATGGGCTGCCCAGGGAGGTGGTAGATTCATCGTCCCTGGAGATTTTTTAGATGAGACTGGATGTGGCATTCAGTGCAATGGTCTGGTAACCATGGCAGTGTTGGATCAAGGGTTGGACTTGATGATCTCGGAGGTCTTTTCCAACCCGGTTGACTCTATGATTCTATGAATGGAAAATGCTTTCTTCTTCGAGTTCACTGTGACTTGAACCAAGACTTCTTTTTCTTTCTAATAACACACACAAGATCCAAGCCAGACATCACTACTTGTACTCTTCACAGCATCTCGCACCATATCTCTGACTGTCCCTGAATCTCCCCCTGCTCACATTTGATTCATAAATCTTTGCAAAAGGGTTTCCAAAGGATTCACCAAGGTATTGTGATGTGAAAAGGGTAGGGACTGCTCTGGGAAATCTCTCAGGACTGCCAACCGTAGCTGTTCAGAATGTTCTACCTCTGAATACTATGGGTGGTAGTTAAATTAAGCCATTACAAGTAAGTAGCATGATACCAAACACGGCCCTTATCAACATACCTCGGCATGACCTCTGCATTAGCACATCAGTGAACGGGCTATTTTGGCCTCAGAGACCCAGAAAAAATTCCTGGGGACTTCAGGTACAGAGATTTAGTGCCCAGCCCTCTCCCAGCCACAGTCCCCTGAGAGATAAACAGAGCTTAATACTGCATGCCTGTGGCTGTGCCTGTGGGCAGAGATCCCAGCTTAGCTCATGCAAGCAGCAGGTTAAGCTACCTTAAGTGATTGGGTGTTTAAGGTCTTATTTCTGGTCTGGATTTTGCCTGCTACCTTTCCACTCCTCCCCCTTCAGAGGTATCCTGTTGTCCCCATGTAAGACACCTTTGTACACCCTGAGATAACTTATTTATGCTGGTAACACCCAGTGATGGGCAGTGGAGGCAAAATGTGAAAGGTTACATTCCAGGAAGAGTAGAGGGAGATAGGTTCAGAAGTAGGGGTGGGTTCCTCCAAGCTCTGTTGTGAGCGTAGAACTGGGTGTGTTGTGATTAAATGGTCATAAATGAGAGCTTAATCCTTTGTCTACATTTTACATTATAAAATATACCAGGATCAATCCATCGTTATTGTTTGCCTTCATTGTCTTCTTATGTTTTACAGAGAAGGAACAGGAAGAACTTTTTTTCCCCCTCAGTCTATTTTTTTTCCTCCAAGGTAGGTTTTATTTGCATTGAAAACTTACAGTCTGAAGAATGTCCCTGGTCCCTTGCCAATCTGGCAATTAACAGACAAAGATAAAAACACATCGGTTCAACGGACTAATATAAAACAATTCTTAACACCTTCAGGAAATATTTTTTTACAAATCCACCTACAAATGAGATGTATTCCCACTGCACTTGTCAGGTTCTGTGACAAAAGCTCATCTGCACACCCACAAAGGAGCACAAAAAGAAAATAGCAGGATGGGGAGCCTAAATAAAACCCTGCTCCAGCTGCTACCAGGCCCATCCCAGGGGCCATCAACCCATAAAAGTCTGCACCAGCCCAAAGGAGCCCAGGGGTACAAAGACAGGTGGGAACCTGAAATAAGGACTCAGAAAAAGGGACACCCTCCCTGGGTCCCTCCCAGGGCTGGTCCTGCACAGCCTCAGCCTCAGGTGTGAAACTTGCCCAGGTGAGTCAACCTTACCTTTGGGACTGAGATGTGTTGCTGCCTCGGGGCATGAGACACCTTATGGTGTGCAGGGGAAGCCACACAATATTAGCACAATGGTTAATTTTTTTGATTTCTTTGAAAAGATGGGCCTTAAACAAAAATAATGTAGAAAATAATAATGAAAAAACATTGAGAAACAAATCACCACACTACTACTCATCCCCCCACACTATAAATGTCCCAGTACACTGGTGTTTGACTCCTTTTTGATGCCTACTTTCCCAGAAAAGAAGTGCTCTGTACCAGCACCATGTTGAGGAGATCTTTGTTAACTTGTGTTACATATTGATGGTTCAGGATCCAGCTTTTCTGGTCTGTAACTCACATTAAGACCTTGGTGTGAAATGCACTCTCTACTTTGAGGTTGCCAGCATTTTCCAGACACAGCTTGTCAGGCAGAATAGCACAAAGGTAATAGAGAGCAGCATCCCTGTACAGAGATACTGCCAGCGTTCCATTCACAGCTTGAATTGCTCAAAGGTGCCAAAGTCCTTTAGACTCAAAACTCATATATTCTCCTGCCCTGTTGGAATCTGCAGTAGGACAACGTGACCCCCTTCAGCTCTCTCACGATTAATGGTGATCATCACAGAACCCTTCTACATCCCACAGTATTTTACAGCTGGAAACTCTATACTTCAAGGAGTAAGTTCAAGGTTTGCTGCAATATGACTTCTAGAAACTGTGCTGCACTAGAAAGGTCTCAGTGGAAGAACTGCAAGTGCCCGTTTTCAGAAGTACAGCTCAGATTCCTGCCCTGTAAATCCTCCAGAGATGAATTAGTTTCTCAGC